GCTGACTAATATACCGCTTATGTAAGTATAGGCTAAGTACTAGATGTATTAAGAATCTATTATATATATAAGCTAGAGTAGCTAAGACCATTATCACGTGATCTATATATCTACTACTACTATATATATAACTATTAGCTATATAGCTCTATCTACTATAGAGTTCTAAAAGTTCAAAATCTTTTAGAATTTTTCCAAGTATTTAAGTTATTATAGATCTACCTAAAGCTGCAGTAGAATGTCACGTGACACCTATGTAAAAGACTAGAAGATCTTAGCTTTAAAACGCACTAACTTTTATATCTATAGCCACTATAGCTGCTGAGTAATTCTCTTTTAAAAATAATAACTTTTTTTTCTACGTTTTATTTTTGTCACCCCACTGTATATTACTGTGAATACGATCTATATCATATAAAGATATAATATATCTATATATAGTATAATAAAAGATATAAATAAAAGTAATTTATAAGTAATAAAAGAAGATAAATAATAATATATTAAAGCTAGTACTTAGTATACCACCCCTTAATGTTACAAGTAACAAGAAGGATTCTCTCCTTGACAAATGACGAGATGGCGGAGGGCCTATGGACGTCCACGTCAGAAGGTAATGATCAACGCGGGGCGCTGATCACGTGACTTGGCATCTCGCCAAGACAGGACATCGGGAGATGCCAGGACATCGGGAGATGCCAGGACATCTGGAGATGCCAGTGGCATCAGAGATGTCAAGGGCTTAACCAGATACCAGGACTGGAAGCAATGAGGATATAAGGATAGATGGATCTCATTATTTACTCTCATTATAGTCAACTCAAATTGTACTTTCTTACTAGTTACTTAACTTCACAAGATTGATACTTGTTAGTCTATTCGACATAGATTAGGAATTGTTAAACCTATTATTATCTATCTTATAAGCACGCCCATTCCACTATATCGCTAGATAACTACCTCACGGCGCTATTCACATATCCTTACTCGCCCTAACCTGGATCGAGCTTAGAGAAGTATCAGCACCCAACCCCGTGTAACACTTTAACCACCTACGGATTTAGTAGACTAGATAGATTAATAGTAGAACGCCCGATTAAGATTTAAAATAGCATATAATTACTTAGGATCTTAAGGCAGCGCCAGTAGACTAGTCCAGAGTCCCAGACCAGTGCCCAACCTAGCACTTAACGACGAGATGCTGACCCTAAGCGACGACGAGATAGACGAGGATGCCTATAACTTACGAGAGTTGCGGAATCTTAGGCACTAAACTACGATTCAGGTAAGGCAGATAGCTAGCCTATAGAAAATAGTTAATCAGCTTACGAGCTAGTTAATGGCCACGCCAAACGAAAAACCTATCAGGAAACCTAAGATAGCAACTCTAGACAAGTATAATAGAAGTCGCACTAAACTGCGAACATTTCTTACTAACATTGACTTATACTGTGGATACAACGACGTACCTAACGACGAGGAAAAGATCCTCATAGCTAACACCTATATGAAAGGAAAAGCAGCTAGTTAGATGCAGCCTTACGTAGAGGATTTCTTAGCTAATGTGCTAAATAAGGGCACTAAGGACGAGACACGTGCCTTATTCAGTAGTTAGGCTAACTTTAAGGAAGAACTAGGACGCATCTTCGGGGAGGTAGACGCTGAAAGCTAGGCAGAGAAGGCAATCTCGCGCCTAAAGCAGACTAAGTCAGTATCAGCATACACAGCTAAGTTTAAGTAATACTAAGCATGAATTAATTAGGACGATTCGGCGCTTCGAACAACATACGAAGTAGGTCTGAAGGAAATAATTAAGGACGAACTTATACACTACAATAAGCTAAAGGATCTATACGCGCTAATCGAGTTAGTAATAAGAATTAATATAAGACTATAGGAACGAAACTAGGCTAGGAGAGGAGATTAACCTCACTACCCGTTCGCTAACTCTCGACGATAATATGACTGTAAGAATAAAGACGGCGACACGTATATAACTAGCAAGGTATAAGATAGGCCTAAGAATAAGAATAATACCCGAGGAAAGTTTAACGACGGCCTTTCTAAGAAAGAACGCCAGAAGCGTTATAATAATAAAGCATGTCTCCAATGCGGGAAGTTAGGACACTTCCGTAGAGACTGCCTAGAAAACAAAGTTAAGTAAGAAGTAGTAAAGATTAGGATGATTCGGATACTAATACCATACCTAACTAAGGAACTAGACGAAACTCTTAGCGATCTAGACCTATACAATGAAGTAAGACAAGCTATAGACGAGGCCTTTAAGCTAGTATAAGAGGTAATAGGACTCTAAGACTTTAAGTAGGACGCACTACTACTAACGGATTAGCAGATTGAAGGGGCCGAAGTATTACGCCGCCTAAGAAATTAATAGTGCTAGATCTACGGACTTACTACGCACTTAGCTAATAATTACGACTATAAAGGACGAATCGTAGTCTTAGGACTCTAAGTAGAGAAAATTACCTGCTGGGCAGCCTAGGAACAACCTAAGTTTAAGGAACCTAATAATGAGGGGACACCTTAGTCGTTTAAGGAATAAATAGAGTAATATAAGCGCCTATATTAGGTTAACTATCTAAGATAGTATAATTACTACTTAAGAAAGAGAGAAGAGACTAGGGACAACGAGGACGATTGCTGCCATACTAATTTATAGTATAATAAATGTTGAGTACAGCATTGCTATATACACTAGCTAGGAGAAAAGGAAGCTTATAAGGAGCTATGCTAGATTAAGTACACGATTAACTGCTAATTCTATAAAGAATAACAACAGAAAGCTAGAAGGGTAGACGACTACTACCACAGCACGATATCCGCCGAGGAATGTATAGCAAAGAACTGCAGAATGCATAGGGCCTAAGTATGGGACACACTAGAAGTAAAACATACTAAACTTCTATGGACGCATTATAAAACTAGATACGCCCTACACTAATAACAGTTTAAGGATACTTAAAAGGTAGATAATTACTACTATAGCACTCTGCCAGCGAACCTTTATAAGGCAACGGATTACCTAATTTACGAAAGTAAGAAGCTAAAACTAAGAGAAAGGACTACAAAGAAGAAGATACCACACTACAACATCTATTAGAGCTTTTACTATAACGATTGATGTACTAATTACTACAACGCTAAAATCGGCGCGGGACGGTTTTCTAAAAAACGGAAGAAGTCGTAGAAAGAACAACTCTTTAAGCTAAAAAACTAGAATGCCGCTAGGAACAGAGTCACGCTGGCAAAGGTAGTCCTAAAACGACCCTTAAAGAAGTGCGAGAAGTAGGAGCGCAAGACTTACAGCTACGAGCTATAGTACTTATAGATGGACACAAGGTGCTAGCGCTTATAGATAGTAGGGCAGCGCGAACTGTCATCTTACCACGAGTGGTGGAAGACAATAATATACCCTATCGAACTAAGAAAGTTCCAATGCGAGTAGTATTAGCCGACGATAGTCCTATAACATACGGGAATGGCTGGATTTAACTTAAGACTGAGGCAGTAACGTTACGCCTAGCTAGTTAAGAAAGCCGAGAAAGAATTAGCATTATAGATCTAGGAGACACTAAGATAATAATTAGCTACAATTGGTTATTAAAGCACAACCCTACTATAGATTAGTAAAAGAAAATAATACTTAGCAGAGAACCTATATATAAGGTTGCTGGAGTACGACACGAGATACGCCCAACGAATTAGCGCGTAACCTAGAACGAGAGATTCGGTATAATCTTACTATATAAGATCGCGAGAATCTATGCGAAGAACCCTTAGAGCATAGAAGTTATTTAGATATAGTAGATCGCGACCACGAAGGAAGGATTGGTACTATAGTTGGCGATTCTAACAGAATACTAGACGGACGAGTTTAGGGAACTGTTTAAGAAAAACGAAGCAATAGACTTAGCAGAATACTAGGATTAGGATCACGAGATCATCCTAGAGGAAGGAGCAAAGTTAAGCTTAGGAGGAATATACCCTATAGCGCCCAAGCACGATGCTAAGCTACAGGATTACCTCTAAAAGAACTTAAAAAAGGGATTTATCTAACTGGGATCGGGCCTAATAGCCTCACCTATTTTATTCGTAAAGAAGCCTAACGGGAAGTGGCAACTATATATCGACTTTAGGAGGTTAAACAGCGTTACTTAGAAGAACTAGTACTTCTTACTACTTATTACGTGTAACGATGTTACAACTTCGCTATGTATCGGACCAATCCCAGAGCCGGATCGGAGGTAGTACTCGCCGCCCTCTTCATCAACTACTTGTTGTGAGGTCGGATCCGATTCGGATCCGACTAAGATAAGTATATAAGGAGACACTCCCTATAGCTAGCTCTGTAGACTTTTGATATCCTTTCGTACAAGGCCTATAGGTGTCTATTCGAATTAAGGCTCGTTTGATGTCCCACGCACTCCCATATGCCTCTGAGTGACACTACCGCCGATACTGATCCGAGTAGTCTTGCCTGCGCCGTTACATTATATCAAAAGTCTCGTCCCAGCCGGTGACGGCTTCAAAACAATATCGCAGCTGTTTGTTGAAGACCACGT